CACCTGAAAATGTCCTAGACTTAGGAACTGGACATAGTTGGAAGATAGGGTTCGGCTGTAGCATCTCTACAAGGGCCTTCTTTCAAGATTTGCTAGATTGTCGAGGCTTCCGGGTGCTATGCGCAAAGGTGTAGGAAGACGGTTCTCCAGATACACCCTGAATCCTAAACCCTAAANNCTAAACCCTACACCCTGAACCGTATGCTCCGAACATGCCGCCTGGTCACTAAGCCGTCAAGAAGAATCTTCTTAAAGACCTGCGTCAGCTGTCGAGGGAATTGGGCTCTAGCCTAAAACCTGAAATCCTGTAATGGAATACTGATCCCTATATTGGCTCGGAACTCTTGTTCCTAAACTCTAAAACTCTAAATAGTTCACCCCGAACGGGTGGAGCTTGCTTAGCCGGAATGTTGTTTGATATTTGTCTGAAGAGTAGGGGGGATCCTAAAACTCAAGGCTTTAGGGCTTGGGCTTAGGATTTTAAGTTTCCGTTCGTTCGTTATTTCTTTCGTCCTTGCTGTGGGTTTGCCTATACTGCGTTCGTTCCTCTCCTTCCTTTCTCTCTTCTGCCTTCTATTTCTTCTCATCATCCCTTCTTCCTTCCTTCTGTCAGTCCTCCACCAACCACCAAAAAATCAACTATCACACGAAAACACATGCCCTCCACCCCAAACCCTTTCGCTTCTAACCAACTCTCAGGCTCCACTTGATCTCCTAAATATCTGCTTGTGCTTTAGATGTCCAGGGCCCAATTAGTTTACAGGGACCTTTGTAGGGGAAAGGCCTGAATTTTAAGAGGCTAGGCAAGTCAGAAGTACGGGGATAGTATCGTAATTGATTGGGGCTATTAACTAACCCAGGCACAAACAACACCGCGAACATAATGACTGAAAGGGTCAAACCTCCATCCCCGCATGAACAGACATCTCGTGCAAGCGGATGTACTGCGCTCACGTGATGATACTGCAAGACTTTAAGATACATGTTCTGGTATTTGATGGCTCAACATCGTAAGGAACCTGATCCAAAAAGGAACATTGCTCAGAACACGCCTCTCAAACACACAAACCCTGAACAAACCCTGCATACACTGAGCTAAACCCTTACGAACTGTTTTACCTGAAGCTGAGGCCCCTATATGAACCCTCACCACAAAAAGCAAAAACACTGCCGCATAAACCCAAGCGCTTCCGAAACCCTACAAACCCCAAACCCCTTTTTTCCTAAACCCTAAATTTAGGGTTTAG